GAGGCTGACAAGGTCGGTGGGAGGAGGGTCAGGATTGGGTCTTTGGTCCTTAGAGGCAGAGGCATTAATTGGATAGCTAGGATAAGGGGCCTGTGCTTGTAGTATGCCCTGGAGGCTGACTGGCCAGGACTGCTGTCCTGTCCGCCAGCTTGAAAAGCGAACGAGCAGGCTTCCCCTGCCCCTCCCCCAAGCTTCTCCTCAGGTTAAACCCCGGGTTCCCTCACCGGGTGTTGCCCATTGGCTGATTTGGTTCCCAGATCGTTGCTGCGCGTCATCACTGGGACTGTGAAGCACCTTGGGCAAACTGGAGTGTGGAGGTGCTACTGGACATGGTCGTCTTCCGGCCCAAGGTTCGAAGCACATGTCTTCCTGTTTCTTGGCCTCTGACAACATAGCCAGCACCACTGGGCTCTGACGGCCCACTCACTACCTCCAAGATGACGTCGAGGAGACTGCAGAACGCCTCGCTGGGATCGCCCTTTCACAAATTCTGGATCGCCTTTCTACGTCCATCGGTGCGGACTCAGCAGCCTTGTTGGTGGGCCTCAGGCTGCCAGATTGCAAAGGTTAAGGGCTGTTTTTGTTCCTGGTGGTGTCAGAGCTGGGTTCAGGAGGACCTTCAATCCCTCACTATATTCCTGGGTAGTTCAAAACGTAACTCTTGCTCATTTGCGATAACCGAATTGGTTAATTCCAGTATAGATAATATTTTGGCTGCGGCGTGTGGCCTTCACGCCTGAATAGCAGGCACTTTTGGAGGGTCAAGGCAGGTGGATCATGTAGGGTCAGGGAGTTTTTGGAGGACCAGGGCCTATCTCAATGCAGCTGAAACCCTGTCTCTCACTAAAATACGAAAAAAATTAGCTGGGTTGTGGGTCATGCCATATAATCCAGGACTACTCAGGAGCGCTGAGCGCGCAGGGAGATCGTGTGAACCAGCGAGCAGATGGTTGCAGTGAGCTGAGATTGGCGCATTGCTCACTAGCCCAGGCAACAAGTCGAGAACCCCAGTCTCAAAAAAAGACAGTTTATTTCAGTTTTGACAGGGTCTGATTTTTGTTTCTTGTTTTTTTGCCTAATGCTATTTGAAGGATCCATGCCCAGATCAGTTATTTGTTAGTGGATGCAATGAAGAGCAACGTCATGAGATCATCAGAAACTTTTACTTCAGCTCTGGGGGATGCTGAGACTGTTCGACTACCATGTGTACTACCTAATGCCCCCATATGGTGGTGCGTGACTAATGAATTAAGCGGAATTCAAGAGGTAGTAAGGATCAAACCATGTATTAAATAGATGGGTAGTCACTACATCAGGCAAATTTTGCAGACATGTTTTTGGAACTTCTTGGTGAGGAAATGCCATCATGATTAAAAGATCTTTCCTGCGATTCAGGAACAGTTTGTTTTTTTTTTTTGTGTTTGTTTTGTTGTTTTTTTTTGAGACAGGAGTGTGGGGCTCGACGCCAGGCTGGAGTGCCAGGTGGCATGGTCATGACTCACCGCAACTCTCGTCTCCTGGGCTCAAGCCCAGGCCCCTCAGCTCCCTGCGTTGCTGGGATACGAGTGTGCACCACCACGCCTGGGCAACTTTTTGTATTTTCTTGGTAGAGATGGGGGGGGTTTCGCATGTTGGCTTGTAAGGCTGGTCTTGAAACCTCCTGACCTCAGAGTGATCCTGTCCTGCCCTGGCGCCTTCCAAAGGCTGGGATACAGGCATGAGCCAACTGGTGCCAGCCCCTTGGATGTATTTTAAATATTCTTTTATCTTTTTCTATGACTGCTTAGATCTAATTTTTTTTTTTTACGTGTTTGGTCCTATTTTGTTTAGAGATTGTTAATATGCATCTTAATTTCTCACAGATACGTGAATTTATTATTTTGCCATGTCACAAATATGAAAGAACCCCATAACTGATTTCCATTTAAATTCCGCATTTTTCTGGTATCATTGTCACTACTTTTTGGTCTGTTTGTTTTCTTGTTTTTGAGACTGAGACAAAGACCGCTCTGTCACCGACTGGATGTCCAGTGGGCTCCGATCATCACTGGCACTGCTTGATTTCATTGCTTGATCTCACCGCAGTCGCTCACTCAATTGCACCGTCCCCACCTCCCAGTTCAAGCATTCCCCCCTGGCCTC